TTTTTAAATTTTTAGTAGATACAGGGTTTCACCATGTTGGCCAGGATGGTCTCGATCTCCTGACCTCATGATCTGCCCGCCTCGGCCTCCCACAGTGCTGGGATTATAGGCGTGAGCCACTGTGCCCAGCCCGATTCCCTTTTATCTGCAGGAACCACCCATTCGTCAGGGCCCTAGGATGATGTAAGAACGAAGTACCCAGGACTGACACCCAATGACAAGGTCCAGCAGCGGTTTCCAACCTGAGGCCCACAGTTGGGCTTCAGAGATCCCCTGAACCCCCTGAAATTGTACACCATCTGTGTGTGTGTGTGCAAAGTTTTGTTTGTATGTACATTTTTCTGGAGAAAGGGTCTCTAACTCCTCTCAGATATCAAAAAGGTCTGAGAGCCCCAAAGGTAGGAATCACTGAGGAAGAGGAAATGGCTTCTTCTGGCTAAGCAGGGAGAATTAAGTGTGCTGAAATTACCCAAACCCCAGCAGCATGCTGCAGTCTACCCCATCCCCATCCACAGAGTCTGAGGAAGGAGGCCCAGTTCTTGTTTATCTCTCATCCCAGGAGTGCTTGGATAAGAAACTTGAACTTCTCTAGACCTCAGGGTTTCTGAATGTAAAATTGGGGAGAAGGGTTTTGGTCTCTTAGGAACTGTAAATAAGACTCACAACATGCTTGGAAATGGTTTCTATATAGCATGGAAAACCATCACTGCTCTTTGACAACTAGAAGATCCACAGGCTACCAAGTAAATGAGAAGCCCAGCCTGGCAGAATGTGACCTTGGCAGAGAGGGATGCTAGGAGGGCCTTCAAGGAGCCAGGCTCCCCAGCACCAGTAGGTCCTGTTCAGCTGTGAATTGGAGATAAGGTGGAATCAGATTATGACTTAATTTTGCTGTGAATGCCTCCCTGTCTCATAGCTCTTTATTTAAGGTTGGAACTAACCTGAAGTCATGCAGCCCAATCTCTTGTCTCAGACTTCAATCCCTTCTGCCCCATCCCCTCTTGGGTCAGTTCCAACTATCAGAAAGTTGTTTATATTGAGTTAAAAATCTGGCTGGACATGGTGGCTCATACCTGTAATCCCAGCACTTTGGGATGCTGAGGCGGGCAGATCACCTGAGGTCAGGAGTTTGAGATCAGCCTGGCCAATATGACAAAACCCCATCTCTACTAAAAATACAAAAATTAGCCAGGCGTGGTGGTGTATGCCTGTAATCCCAGCTACTTGGGAGACTGAGGCAGGAGAATTGCTTGAGCCTGGGAGGCGGAGGTTGCAGTGAGCCGAGTATGCACCACTGTACTCCCAGCCTGGGCGATAGAGTGAGACTCTGTCTCAAAAAAAAAAAAGGAGAAAAAAAAAAATCTATCATTCCTAGAATGTCCACCCATTGTTCCTAAGTCCCCTTGGGCACTCCAAGACTAGTTAATCCATAGGACAGTCTTTGACACTTTTATTGAAAATGTGTTTCCTAGGGCAAAACACCTCCCACTTTTCTAGCATCACAACTTTTTCAGAACTCAAAGGATGTTTTAGGTTCTTTGTTTGTTTTTGGCCTCCCAAATTGCTGGGATTACAGGCGTAAGCCACCACACCCGGCCGATGTTTTAGGTTCTTAGAAGCATTGTATATAATTTCTTTCCAGCTCAAATTAACCTGCTGAGCAGCTAGACACACTAAACTCAATTTCTATTTACAGCTAGACCTCATAGGGTGAGTAGAAAAAACCCAATGCCAAAAGATCTGAGACAAACAGAGGCCAAATGAACAGGCAAAGGTAATTCAGAAATCCAGTGGTAGGCACGGGAACAGAGCCCAGGGCTCCCAACTCTTCGTTTCTTACTGGAAGACACTCAACTGTGATTATACACAGGGTGGGCAGAAATGCCAGTGTGGTAGCCCCAGAGGAGCTGAAAATGCTGGAGTGACCAGGACCCTGGAATTCCAACTGCAGCCCACACGGGGTGGTTTTCCTTGGGAAGCCTCTTTAAAGAAGGGAATTTAGCTTGCCTGCTCTTTTAGATGTGGCAGCGGAAGTGGCAAATTTAAGATAAAAAAGGGGACCATGTGGGCTGGAGATGGGGGACTTTTCCTGTACATCACAGAAACTCTTGACCCTGGCATGGGAATTTGGGACTCTTGGGTTCTGTTTCTGGTCTGCTATAGTCTCCAACTCTCTGGATACGATGCTGGTCTAGAGGGGGCCCTCCTGTCAAAGGCTCAACTGCAGACCCAGAAACCGAACCCACCTGGGTACCTGTAGATCCCTGTCCCAGGGCACAGCTGTAGTAACACCCTGGGGAATGAGGAGATACCTAGGCCCAGCTGCATTTCTCACACCTAAACGCCTAGAAGCCAAGCCACCTAGGCCTGCAGAGTCAGCTCAGAGTCCAGGTGTTGTGTGCCTGCTCTGGGAATCCAAGAGCCTAAGTCAATGCCAACTTTAACCAGAGGGTCTCTGACCCAAAGGGCAGAGCCTAGGCAGACAGAGCCCAGGGGCGTTAGCTCCGAAAATTACTGTGTCAAAACCGCCGCACTGGCCTGAAGATCTTGCCCTGTCAGATCAGGAGACAGGAGAGAGGAGACAGGAGACACTGGGTCGAGGAAGGGCAGAGGTCATTTGCAGAGCATGTTTGGGAAAGGAAGCCAGTGTTCAATCAGGGTGCCCGCCCCTTGAGCCTTCCATCTGCCTTCATGCCTCAGGTCCAATGAAGTGACATCCCCTGCCTTCTGGGATGCTGAGAACTGTCCGGGAGGCCCATCTTCTGCAAGGCAGGGCAACAACATGACAGGTGGAGGTACCTAGGCTGGCTGGACACATTCCTCTGCTGACCTATCTCATCAGCATCTTTGGTCACTATCTGGCCAACTCACAGTTGTTGGAAACCTCAGCTTTGGGACTGAGGCCAGGTCCCTGGACAACCCCAGTCCCTGTCCCACACTTCCTTGACCCACAAGCCCTGTCTAGCCTAGCTCTGACAGGCAGGCCGCAGCCATTACTGCAGCCTCAGCTCACACCCATGGAGCTCATCTTCCCCTTTTTTTGAGAGAGATTTTAACTCCTTCCCCACCACTCCCCTGGCACTGAAAGACTTACAATCACCCACTTCGGTGTTGACTACCCAAAGCCCTTAGAGCCACTCTCCCAAGGCCCCAGCGGGCAGTGCCCCTGCACCTCATCCTCTCTTGTTGGGAGCACCTCCTCCTGCAACTTCTGAGCCAGACGGAGTCTCCAAACTCCGGTTACCATGCCATCCTCCCTGGACCCCCAGCTAGACACTGCGGGTCGGGGAGAGGTTGGGGAGGAGTCTGGGCTTGAGCCAAGGGCCTCAGCTGAGTTCTCTACCCCCGGGGGATACCTCCCCTCCCCCTCAATAGGGCCGGGGCTTCCTCTTCCGGCAAGGAGGGGTTAAGCCCTCTGGGTGGGGCTGGGCTTGCTCAGACCCCCGCCCCAAGCCTCTCGGTCGTCCCGTCCCGTGACCCTCTACCCGCGGGACAGGAAGGCCCGGGCACTTTCGCTCCGTCATGCCCCCTTGCGCGGGGGCCAGAGGGGGCCCGTCTCAGCCGGCAGCTGGTCCCTCCTGCCTCGAGAGCCCCTCGGTGCCG